CCCACACACTAGTATGTCCTGTCCTTCTCGGGCCCACATACTAGTATTTCATTTCTTTTTAGTGCCCCAACATAATTATGGCATGTCCTTCTTGGAGCCCACTCTAGTATGTCATGTCCTTCTCGGGCCCCCACACTAGTATCTCCTGTCCTTCTGGGGTCCCCACACTATACTGGGGTCCCTACACTATACTGGGGTCCCTACACTATACTGGGGCCCCCACACTAGTATCTCCTGTCCTTCTGGGTTCCCCACACTATACTGGGGTCCCTACACTATACTGGGGTCCCTACACTATACTGGGGCCCCCACACTAGTATCTCCTGTCCTTCTGGGTTCCCCACACTATACTGGGGTCCCTACACTATACTGGGGTCCCTACACTATACTGGGGCCCCCACACTAGTATCTCCTGTCCTTCTGGGTTCCCCACACTATACTGGGGTCCCTACACTATACTGGGGTCCCTACACTATACTGGGGTCCCCACACTATACTGGGGTCCCTACACTATACTGGGGTCCCCACACTATACTGGGGTCCCTACACTATACTTGGGTCCCCAAACTATAATGTCATGTCCTTCTGAGACCCACACACTAGTCTTATTTTACGGTAATATGCAGTAGGATAACACAGGCATATTATTTATGAGTGGTTTTGCATGTGCATATTAACTTGATTTTTGAGGGAAATATTTAACTTAATTTGTCATTCCATAAAGTGGAAACTCGATGCTTAGCTGCGACAATAATCTTCGCGAAGGTGAACTCAGGGTTCCATATTCTCAGGGCCCTTACCTATATATTAAGTATGTTTACATGCCTTCAATGAAATAGATATATAAAATAGCGCTCTATAACATAGCAATTAATTAAAGAATATTTAAGTAGAGGAGGAGTTCATGTTGTTTAAACCATGGTTGTACTCCACTCACAGATTTGACGGAGTATGCAAGACCAAAATGCAAGTGAAAGATAAGATAATCTAATGATTCCGTGATTGTTTTACTTTGAAACCAGCGTCCTCTTATCGGACAGTCCTCTTATTGTCTTAAGATAATTGCGCTTTTTCGCCAAGTTTATTTAAAATCTAAAATATATAGTCTGTCCTCAGATTCGCTGAGACGTCTCACAAATTAATATCCGTGGTTATAGGGCCTTTGCAACAAGCCAGCTTCTTTCTCAACTCCCTGGGGAGCATACAACAGCTGCTGCTATTCCGGCACTCACAGCTAGCATTCTACATTTCTAGCACTGCCCAGCCACGTACTCATTTACAGCTGAGTAAACTGGAACAAGCGGACTCGAACCCGCAACCCATCGGTCACGAGCCCGGCGTCCTACCACTAAACTTGGTCAACTTTAACAATTCCTATCGTTTTCCTGACAAATTATTGTTATTTGAATCAGTAAGTTAACAAAGATGATTCCATCTTAGTCTGAAAGTGGCAGACGTGTTTTAATCATTAGTTTTACTTATAACAAGTTATATATTTGTTTCATTATATTCTATGTCAGCATGACTTGAGAAAATCAACAATGTCGCGCACACTAAGCCTTGAATTTTGCTATGACATATTCCAGGGGTGTAGAGAGCGAAAGTGAGTGTAACCCCTGGGTATCGAGGATGTCCCTCCGATGGCACAGTAGTTTTCCCCCGTGGGTTTTCCTCCGCCAAGAAAACAATATTTGGTCCCTTAGCGGCGTCGTAATAAAAGCTCTATAGAGGATGACACGTTTGTGAGTACTACGATTTGATAGGTATTTATTTGTTAGTGTAAATGTACAAACGTTCCTGACCTATAGATACGATTGGATGTTAGACACTTAAATACATGTACACATTTTATTCAAAACTATTTCGTGGATTGTAAATATACATGGATTGTTCACTGGTTCCTTTTTATCTGATAGTGATTTGCCACTCTGGTATAATTATACTATAGGTTATATCAGTGCTCTGAGCTAGACGTATCCTACCCGAAGAAAGTGTTTAGAAACAAATTGTGGTTTAGTTCTAGAAGGCTCTAGAACTAAACCACAATTTGTTTCTAAACACTTTCTTCGGGTAGGAAGTAAGGATTATGAAAGGTTTCTTGTTACACAACTAATAGGTGTTTCTATGTGACGTTTCGATGACTAGTACCGTATGTTCACTGTCACCTTCATCAGACAAATGACCAGTGAAGCGTACGAGTTGTCCACAAATCGGAGTCGATTCGGCTACGGTTTAAGTGTATGTACATTGTGTTGTTAATATGTACCGCAATGACTTGATTCAGCTACTCATAAATATGTTCATTAACCGCAATAGATCCTCCCAGGAACTTGCATATAGCAATCTTAGTTCCTCCAACGGTATCTCTTATGTTTTGAATGGAATGGATTCTACTATTATCGCTGCAGTGAAGTTTTTTTTTTTTTTTTTTTAACTTTCAATGTTAAGTTTTCATTCCAAATTCACACGATAGGTAGAAAAACATAAATAGGCCATGATAATAAAAGGCATGGTCATGTGGCTATTTCTGTTGGTGAGCTACAAGGATTGTGGACGCGCTCCAATATGCAAGTTCATCAATTATCTTCTCCTCCAAAACAAATACACTACGTTAAAACAACTTAACAGAACACATCAATCGGAGATCAGGATAGGGATATGCAGCTATGTGGGTGGGGTGCATATATGAAATAGAAAAGGGGATAGTTTTCTATCTACTTACTAAATCTCTTCTCTAAGACCAATGATGTCCAAGACTAAATATATTTTTCGCGGTTTAATGGAACAGAATCAGCCGAACCTGGTTTTCTCTTTAGTATCATACCCTCTGATAGAGGGCGCTGAAGTCGGGTATCGCACATGCTGGGTGTGCGGTATGTGACAGTCGGGTCATTCAGCGATAGTCGCGCCGACAGTACACGTATACCTTTTTTTGAGAACTTTAGAAATTAGTAATTAGTTGATGGAATCGTTTCACGTGAACTCATGATGAAGGCACGGAAATGTAAGGGATGTGAGCGAGTTTGATCTGTAAATACTGTCGGCGATTATGCTCTCCAAACAATAAACAAATAATTGGATTGTTAGTTTGGCATTGTTTTGGCTTCTGACAGATGGTGTGGTATTCGACGGAAGGGTATTCTATAAAGATATGCCGTGGGATCATACATTATACACACTTGCTGTTTTGGATTCCCCCATTTGGTCCATTGAGGAGGCCCTAGTTTACTGTATATATATTATAAAACATAAAGGACTATTACTACCTTTGTAACAGGCAGAGTTGGTCAGAGATGGAATTGATCGTGATAATGGGAATGGATATAGCTTTTGTAATAATGTAGAGCTCAAGATCTCCCCAGGGTTTCGGATGTATGGGGCAAATCTTATGTAAGATTGCATTTTTTTTAATCAAATTCTTTCCCATATACTGCAATGATATAGCTTAATGTTTCGGATGGAGGAATGAGTTTGAAGAGCTTTAAATTACAATACTACCCAACCTATGACATTCATGTGTTGACGTATTCATTTTTATGACTTTGGATACAATTTACCAATCCACCCAGGAATATTCTATTACTAAACGAGCATACATGTCGCAAACACTTATTTGAACTAATTACTGAATTTGATAAAAGCATTTTTTTTCTGATTTTATTTTATATTCATATTATACAAACTAAACTTATGTGAGCTTTCGTAGTCATTACTTTACGCTGGCTTTTGATATTTTTTCTTTTCCTTTCGATGAACTGGTGCCCTATATGTGCCTACTGTTTGCCTACATTTCAGGCTGCCTGTAGAGCCAGATGAAAGTGTCTACTTTTAAGTCCGCATGCAACACTAGGTGAATGTGTCTATATTTAAGTCCGCATACAACACTAGGTGAATGTGTCTACTTTTAAGACCGCCTGTAGCGCTAGGTGAATGTGTCTACTTTTAAGTCCGCCTGAAGCTCTAGGTAATTAAATGTGTCTACTTTTAAGTCCGCAGACACTAGGTGAATGTGTATATATCTAAGTCCGCCTGTAGCGCTATGTGAATGTGTCTACTTTTAAGTCTGCCTGTAGCACTGGGTAAATGTGTCTACTTTTAAGTCCGCCTGTAGCGCCAGGGGAATGTGTCTACTTTTAAGTCCGCCTGTAGCGCCAGGGGAATGTATCTTCTGTTAAGGCTGTCTGTAGCGCCAGGGGAATGTGTCTACTTTTAAGTCCGCCTGTAGCGCCAGGGGAATGTATCTTCTGTTAAGGCTGTCTGTAGCGCCAGATGGATGTTATAGTTAAGATTGCCTGTAGCCCTAGGTGAATGTGTTTACTTTTGAGGCTCTCTGTAGCGTTAGGAGAATTAGACTTATTATCAGACTGCCTTTAGCGCTTGATCAATAAAATGTATGTCTATTTTTAAGACCGCATGTATAGCGCTAGGTGGATGTGTCTACCTCTAAGTCTGTCCATGGCGCTAGTTGTCTTACGGTCTCGTTCCATGTAACCTGACTTCGGTGCTGATGTGTTTACGTCTGTCATTATTAAATAGTAGGCATGTACTGTTGAAACTCGGTCAGGAAGTTCACACGACGTCTTGTAATTTCTAGATTTAAAATTCTTTCCATGCAACAAGTATACGTTCAGTGTAAACGCTGTTCTGTGGAGATACACCGCTACACCTACATATTACCATGATGTTTGGATTTGAAATTTAAATTAACAAGTACGCCTCTGAATTTTGAAATTGATCAATATAAGTGTTTTACGCATCCTCCCCTATGTTTTAATAGTAGTTTCAACAATTTTGATTTCCAACTTTTTGATCCTTAGCATCACCAATGAGACCTAAAAGTAAAAACAGCTGTATAATTCAATGCATTTAATTTTCCGTAAACTGTATCTACATTGTATAAACCAAATTTTGAAGATGCAGTCTCCTGTGTGGGTGTATTTGGTAGGTTCACCACCGAATGAAATCGAAAATGAAATGAATGAAAATTTCAAAAAGGAATATCAAGATTCAATATTTAAGAGACTTTATTAGTGTCGTACAGTTTATAGCTAACACAAAACATTAGCTGAGTATGGGTATTATCATTAAAAAAAATTACAAGCACCAAAAAATCAGTCTGTAATATCGTCTAGATCTAGGTGCATTTGTCACAAATGGCAGTATGATAGTTCGGTTTTCTGTCAAGATGCGGAAGTGCAATCTGTTAAAAGCACTGTCATATTTAAATTTCATAGAAAGATCAAACAAATTGGCTTTTGTATCAAAAACGTTAAAATGATATTTTTTACAAATATTCAAGTCATTTCCGTCGAAACCCACTTCCGTTTGGAGCCGTATATTTCTATGACCGGTTCTCTCTTGCAGGTAGTCGAAATCAATGTCAACCGGTAATACCATAATATAGTTTGCATTTGCTTTTCTGTAAGTCATTGTCCGTTTGAACCATCTCAACGTTCTGATAATAAGTTGGTTGTATTAACCACTTTACTTGCTTACTTCAAATGTGTGTGGATCTTTGTAGAAATAGTTTCTTTTACGAAAATTACCGAAGTCTAAGGTTCTGGTATTTTGTACGTGTTCCAGCATATCCTTCACTACCTGTGGTACCGTCTCGAATCCACACAGCTCTGCGTGGTCTTTGTTCATCCTCCACTGTAGATCCCCTTTGCCCATGTAATGCGCATGCAAGTGGGTCATATCAAACTCCTTTCTCTTTTGCTCAAAGTCACGATCAGCGTCTTCCAGCATTTCTTGCTGCGACGGAAACTTGACGTTACCCTCCAGAATGATCGACGCCGCCCGCGCCTGTTCGTGTGACTGGGCGAAATAAGACACGCATCGCGCAAGTCCAACAAATAGCAGATTGTTGTATTTGATATGTACCAGATGTTTATACAGGGGAGTTATCCTCTCATCCTTTAGCTGTATGACGTCATCAGCTAGAAACGGGAAACTATAACTGTATCCGGTACAGAGAATGATGTCGTCAATGTCTTCTTCAGATCCGTCTTTGAACACGACCCTGTTGCCCTCCAATAGATGGCTCACATCCGGACGCTCCGCTACATTTGCTGGTATTTTAGTTTGTAGTCCAGCGTCCCTGTGTCCCATATAAATCTGAAATAAAATAATAAATGACCGTTAACATATATTTACCAAAATATCTTAAATTCATTAACAAGATAAGCTAAGTTACGAACAATGTTAATAGATTAATATATTAAATTCATTAACAAGATACGCTACAGTACGAACCATGCTTACAGTTAAATATCTTAAATTCATTAGCAAGATAAGCTATGTTACGAACAATGTTAATAGTTTAATATCTTAAATTCATTAACAAGATAAGCTAAGTTACGAACAATGTTAATAGATTAATATATTAAATTCATTAACAAGATACGCTACAGTACGAACCATGCTTACAGTTAAATATCTTAAATTCATTAGCAAGATAAGCTATGTTACGAACAGTGTAAACAGTTTAATATCTTAAATTCATTAGCAAGATAGAGCTAATGTACGAACAATGTTTATAGATTAATATCTTAAATTCATAAGCAAGATAGAGCTAAGGTACGAACCATGCTTACAGTTTAATATCTTAAATTCATTAGCAAGATAAGCTAAGGTACGAACAGTGTCAATAGTTTAATATCTTAAATTTATTAGCAAGATAGAGCTTATGTACGAACAATTTTAATAGTTTAATATCTTAAATTCATTAGCAAGATAGAGCTAATGTACGAACAGTGTTTATAGATTAATATCTTAAATTCATTAACAAGATAAGCTGAGGTACGAACCATGTAAATAGTTTAATATCTTAAATTCATTAGCAAGATAGAGCTAAGGTACGAACAATGTCAATAGTTTAATATCTTAAAGCATTAACAAGATAAATCTATCGTACGCTCGTTTTTATATATTTAATCCGACAATCATAACGAATAGAATTGAAGGCATCCCAGAAAGATATTAAGATTAAGTTACCCTATCACTATGGAACAAACTGTTTTCTGGAGTGACTTATAAATAAACTATTAATACAGTTGTTGGTTTATGTCAATCGTAACGTAATTCACAATACACTTAATGCTATATATGGCTATATCATACAACGTTTTATCACATAATGTACAGTGTTATCTAGTGAATATTAACCCATGTAATGTGACCTATCAGCCCTGTGATTGGTTGTAAGTTTCAATTGTTTCAATTGTGACGTCCCGCCTAGGACAAGTACATGACATCACAGACTTACGCATTGGAGTAAAGCTTTTTACATTACAAGGTTGCATGAAAATTGCCGTTTTACACGAATAATTGCAACAAATCTTGATTATGTGTTAAAAAAAGAATCTTACACTTGTTTTCATTTCATATGAAATTTTTGAAACACACGATTTTTTCATTTTAGCTCACAAGAGGCTCGCTAAATCGAAAAATTCTTAGACTCGTTTCATAATTCTCTTATAAAATGGAAACTCATGTAAGATCCTATATATGGAAAATTCCTACACTTTTTGTATCACATCGTGTGTACATACACATATCATTGGAACCTAGCCGAAACAGCACCGTCAGTTTGTGACTTCCACTTCCTCACAAAATGCACTATTTTATACAGGTTTTCTAGTTTTTAATAATTAAAGATATCTTCGAATAAAGTAACATAAAGATAATATAAAAGTGCAAAATAATAATAGAAAAATAAATAAAAAGTACAAGCAGAATGATAATAATAATAATAATAATAATTCGAGGTTCTTATAAACCGCTTTATCACAAGGCGGTTCACAAATTATTATCCATGGTTTAGGGCCTTTGTAACCAGCCAATATCTTTCTCAACTCCCTGGAGAAGCATACGGCTGGTGCTGCCATTCCGGCGCTAACCGTTAGCATTCAACAATTCTAACACTACCCAACCACGTACTCATGTACAGCTGAATAGACTGGAACACGCGGAGTAAATGATCTAGCTCAAAGATACAGAGCCGTGCCGTGGCGTGACTCGAACCCGCAACCCTTCGGTCACGAGCCCTGCGTCCTACCACTAGAAGAACTGATACGGAAGGGTATACCTTTTACTGCTTCATTAGAATTTTAATTTAAAGAGATGTAAGCAATATATCTAAAACAACACCGAGTTCAACGGATATCAATAAGATCCGGTACCCGCCACTTAGATTTAGGTTACATCTAATTAATGTCATGTCCTCAAAGTGTGGACTCAACCCGGGGAGCATAATCAAAAACGTCGCTACCCATATTGATATCGGAAACATAATAGTTCCCTTTCACGTTATGATTGCGGCCGTTAAACTTGCCCATAAAAACATTTTAAATCCACATCTTTCACAATCCCGAGATGTATTTTGATCAGTCAGCATTTTACACCTATCACAAAAATCATAAGATTTCGATCAAGCTGATCATGTAAGACGAGAGATGTGCTAAACATAAACTGTACTCTCTATGTGCCGGGTTTTGAAATAATTGAAGTTAAAATCAAATTATAAAATTACTTTGTGTGTAAACTGGTAACAGAATGACAATGATATGATTTTATAATAACAGTTTACGAGTGCAAGTGAAATATTGTACGAGTGCATCGGATTACGCAACTGTCCAAGTTGTGCAAAAAACAAGCCCATACATGAGTTATGATTACATGTTTCATAGCGAACATACAAACCAATGTGATGTTTATGTTGAAGATATGTAGCCGGTTTCGTTCATAAAAATCCTAGTTTAGTCGTATCATGTCACGATGGCGCGAAGCCTAACCGTATCACACATCGGTGTAATCCTGTTGTGGAATATATTCCGGTTAAAAGAATGCGTTTGATGCAGTATTAAAGAAAAAGGCTATAAATATTCGCCGATTATTCAATTTACCCGAGTTCCATTGTAGTTATCACCCGATAACCTGAACTAAATAGAAAGTTAATCCTTAAATCAATACACTTTTTGAGGTATTCGCAGAAGCTGCCTTATCAGGCGCTAACTACTAGTCATATGCCACTTGGCTAATATCTCCCTATGTGTGCATGCCTGTGCGTATGCTGGAGATGTATTGTGACAAATATATGCACTTTCCTCCAAGTGTTTGCCTTTTATACTGTTACCTTTTTTGCCTTTTTTGATAGATCAAACGCTATATCTAGTCCGGAGAAGGAGGCCCCAATGATCAAAACTCGCTTCCCTTCATACACATCTGGTCTCCTATAATCTCGACTGTGAATGACACTTCCGGTGAATTTGTCCATCCCCTTCACTTCCGGAATGTGGCTTTTTGAGTAGTGACTATAACATAATGCAATACAATTTATTTACAAAATAGTTCACCGTAAGAACAGCATACTCTCGGTCAACATCGATCCAAAATAATTCACTGTAAAAACGACACTTTCAAGGACAGAACCGATGAGACATAATTTCGAGTTTTTACTGAAGGTTAAGTGATATAGTCACTGACCACCTTTAAAACACATGTTCTGAATACTTCAGAACTGGAAAGGACGAAACAATATCCCGTGAAAATGTAAAGCGTACCTACCCAGTGCTAACGATGACACCATCGAAGCGCTGTGTGTCTATTTCGTTGACGTTGTGTCTGTTACAGTAAGTAACATCCCATTGGACATGGTCGCCATCTGTGGGCACAGGACGGATACTCTTCGTAATGGTGTTTAACTGAAAGGTCAGATATGTGTTAATCAAAATGAATTACATTTACTCATATTAGTGTATATATCCTTATATGCGACATTAATGCCATTTCGTACCATTCGACAATAAACCAGAACCCACATAGCTTAAATACGTAACCCCGCCACCTGGTGCCCATCACCAAAGTGACCAAGACAGTCCCGACATCTGGTGTCAATCATTAAAGTTACTAAGACAGACCCGCCACCTGGTGTCTATCATCAAAGTTACTAAGACAGACCCGCCACCTGGTGTATATCACCAAAGTGACTTAGACAGACCCGCCACTTTGTGTTCATCACCAAAGTGACTAAGACAGACCCGCCACCTTGTGTCCATCACCAAAGTGACTAAGACAGACCCGCCACCTGGTGTCCATCACCAAAGTGACTAAGACAGACCCGCCACCTGATGTCCATCACCAAAGTGACCAAGACAGACCCGCCACTTTGTGTTCATCACCGAAGTGACTAAGACAGACCCGCCACCTGGTTTCCATCACCAAAGTAACTAAGAAAGAACCGCCACCTTGTGGCCATCAACAAAGTGACCAAGACAGACCCACCACTTTGTGTTCATCACCGAAGTGACTAAGACAGACCCGCCACCTGGTTTCCATCACCAAAGTAACTAAGAAAGAACCGCCACCTTGTGTCCATCAACAAAGTGACTAAGACAGACAGTGCTCTGGAAAGCTTATTGGGTGCTCTGAATAAAAGTTTTAAGTTTCACGTCGATACACATTACTTTCCAGCTCTAGGTAGCTCAAATAGGCATGTCACCTAGGGAATAGTATTGTCTGATACATGTGACTGACTATAGTGACATTGCCGGCGGTAACTGACACCAAACTATGAACATGGTAATAAACACAAAAGTTCTTCTCAACGGAATTGTATCTTCAAAAAATGCTCATATACTGTGTTGATGTTGCATATTATTTTGCTATGTCGTTTTCTATCATTAAGAGAAGGATTATGTGGGTGAACAAACTATGGAACTTCTCAGGTGAAGAATTTTGGGTCAGAACATCGGACAAATTGTGGTTCTAAACGACAATTTGTATCCTCTATTGAAATACGAATATATAACACACCCAGGTATGACAAAGATTATTTTTTTGAGTTTAGAATACCACTATCCCATACCTTCTCCGCCCTTGATTATCATTACCATTATCCTCAAATAAAAAAACCTACAAAAGAACGCATCAAATGGCACCTTTAACTTTGGAATCATAATATCAGATATGAACAGAAATATTGTTTATTTTGTTTAAAGTCCTATTAGCCGCTATGGTAATTTAAGGACGTGCCTCAATGTGTGTAGTGTATGCGTATGTGTGTGTATGTGTGATGGAGACAGGGCATGTTACTGTACTTGCCTCCTTGTGTGCGGGTCTGATGCCGACTTTATAGTGCTACCTCACTAAAAACCCAACCCTAAGGAAGCCAGCACAGCACCCCGCCCGGTCACATTATACTAACAACGGGTAGAACAGTTGTTGCCATTACCCTTGTTGCAGTTAAACTCCCATTTTAAGGACTTTGGTATGTCCCGGCCTGGGGACACAACTCATTGCCTTCCTCACCTCGACGAACGCTCAACGCAAAGGCCAAACATGAAATACTGTCAAGCAAGGCTCTTTTAGAGAGAAATTATAAAAGATCCTAAATGTTGCAATGGGGGCAATATATCAATTGTGCTTTCATCTATGTCTCCTTAGCAGAAGACATAGAAGCAAGTCCCAAATTCTGCAGGGACCCCACATTAGTCGCCTCCTCCGACATGTAGTGGGATACAGCAGGCTTATTATTTCCCCGAACCAGCAGGGGAATCCCTTTTTGATGTCGCCTTAGTTCATATTGGTGTATTTTTGTATTAACGTTGAATTCGCTGTGTTCCTAATATGTTGACGCTCCGGTTGGGTTTTTAATTTTTACTTCACTACCAAAGATGATGTAATTTTTGTATTTGTTTTTGCTGTTAAGTGCCTTAGCGTGATTTTACAAATTATATAGGGCTCTTTATAAATGTTGTACATCATTATTAGTGATAATTTCAGCTGACATATCGATAAACATCATGAATACCATCCCCTTACATGTAACAACATATATACTGACCTTTACATACTGGCCAAGGTCGAAGTGATCAGTGAATCCTTTGACGTACTTGAGTATCTGTGGGTGATGTAGATAGGAATTCCCGCTCTGGTCGTGAGGATATCCTGGTATCGTCATCAGCTGCTTTGGGCCGTTGGTCCTGTAGTGGTGATCAATACCAAAATACTAAGATATACTTGTAATAAAGCAGAGGAATTGCAACGTTTATGTCACAGGACTTTTTTTTTCTTTTTCTTTAAAAAGTGTTTCATTTTGACCCGCACATGTGTAGAGTTGGGGTACACAAAATGAAACACTTTTTAAAGAAAAAGAAAAAAAAATCCTATAAAGTTTCTGAAAGACCATTTTTTACTGTAATGAAACATATATTCCTTTAGCCTTCATCTAATGTATTTCTTAGGTATCAACATCAAGTTTGTCTATTTAAAGAGCTCATTAAATTGCCCCTATAGGAATAAATATAAGTTCTGTGCTTGTTTTCGTATCCTTGTGTTATTATATGTTTGTAAGTAATATTTTTGGATATTGAATAAATATTGTTTAAAACATTCCCCAAAATCAATACTGCGAGACCTTCATCAACATAATATTCCAACAATGTGTGGGTTATCTGTCCATTACCAGTACGTCTTTAAATTATGTTCTCCTTCGTTCCTCATACGTACATACATTATTCCATTTCTAAACACTTTAATTGAAATAAGAACACAAAGACTGTAAATTCTTATAATACCTTAATTAGCATACCGTGATTGTTACTTTGGGTAATATTTTAAAATCGGTACATGTTATAACCTATACTACCATTACTCTGCACGTGCAAATGCATGTTAAGTAAATACATCTACACAACTCCACTCTATTAAAATATATTGAAACGAAATGTATATATACACATTGGTATCGTAGTTCGTCGGATATGGTGTGTCAGCGTCCAATGATCCAGCTTCCCCAGTAGTGTCCTTCACAGTCAAATTTACTAATACTATAGCAGAACATTACACACATCGGCCACATTTTGACATTACTGCATACTTCCCACCTCTCACAATGGAAAACTGTTGGCAATAAATCACTTGCTACCACAGTCCACTGCACACATAATCCCCTTTCATGGCCAATCATGATTACATGACCATGAA